CTTACAATAGACCATTCTTTCGGGCGGGATCGCCTAGTAATAGATCATTCACTCGGGTAGGGTCACCTCACAATAGATCATTCTTTCACGCAGGATCGCCTAGTAATAGATCATCCCGGTAGGTCACCTCATAATAGACCATTCTTTCAGGCGAGGATCGCCTAGTAATAGATCATTCACTCGGGTAGGGTCACCTCACAATAGACCATTCTTTCGGGCGGGATCGCCTAATAATAGATCATCCGGGTAGGGTCACCTCACAATAGACCATTCTTTCGAGCGGGATCGCCTAATAATAGATCATCCAGGTAGGGTCACCTCACAATAGATCATTCTTTCGGGCAAGATCGCCTAATAATAGATCATCCACTCGGGTAGGGTCACCTCCTAATTGACCATTCTTTCGAGCAAGATCGCCTAATAATAGATCAATAGATCATTCGTTCGAGCAAGATCATCTAATAATAGATCATTCACTTAGGTAGGGTCACCTCACAATAGATCATTCGTTCGAGCAAGATCGCCTAATAATAGATCATTCATTTAGGTAGGGTCACCTCACAATAGACCATTTTTTTTAGGCAAGATCGCCTAATAATAGATCATTCTTTTAGGTAGGATCGCCTCACAATAGACCATTGCATATTCAATTTCGAGGGTAGGTCGCCCTTTACAATAAAGCCACGCATGACACGTTTAATTTTTAGGGTAGGTCGCTCTTTACAACAAGGCCACGCATTGCATATATAATTTTTAGGGTAGGTCGCCCTTTACAACAAGGTCACGCATTGCACGTTTAATTTCTAGGGTAGGTCGCCCTTTACAACAAGGCCACGCACTCGCATGTTTAATTTTCGGGGTAGGTCGCCCTTTTAAATAAGGCCATGCATTTGCACGTTTAAATTTCTAGGGTAGGTCGCCTTTTACAACAAAGCCATGTATCGCATCTTGTATTTTTCATGTACTTTGTACTTAATTTTTCATGAACTGCACATTTATTTTTCCAAAAAAAAAAAGGAAAGAACTCAGACAAATCTATTCCGAAGTTCACACTTCAGCTAAGATTTGTATCGTAAGCATTGTAAAGAGGGGGCAACTGTCATAACCCAATTTTTCCTTTAAAGGAAAAAAGAAAAAAAAAAGAAAAAAAGAATAATAAAACAAAAAAAAAACAAAAAAGGAAAAAATATAAAATCTCCAAAACATCCGTTGAAATCTTCCACCGATTTTTTTAAATTAGAATCTCCTTATTTTTAGCTAGAAAAATCTCAAATTTAAGATTCGATAATTAAAATTTGATTTGATTTTGGGAGAAAATTTAGGATGTTTTCGACCTATAAAAAGCTTTCGGATTCCAATTTGCGAAAAAGAAGGAAGGGAGAAAAAAAAAGGAAGGGAAAAAAAAAAGGAGGAGGGGTAAGAGAAAAAAATAAGACAGGAGAGAGTCTACTTATGGCGTGATATTTGCTGACCAGAATTCCAAGTTGAAGCATGCGGGTCCGGTGTTTTACTAATGTTGCAGGTGTCTATGGCATTGGTTTAGCGAGGAAGAAGTTAAAGGTATAAAATCAATTTTTTTTTCTTTGTCTTTATGTAGTGCATGTCAAGCTAAAGGAAAGGTGAGTGGGAGTTTTGGTTTTTGGTATAAAAAAATGATTACGGGGAAATGGAAAAGTGTTGGACATGGTTGATATAAAAAGGGTTACAAGAGAAGATTTTAGTTTTTAAAAGAAAGGAGAAACTCGTCCGAGCCCGTGCCTATCCCAAAAAGAAAAAAAAACTTCTCCCAAAAATAAAAAAATATATATAAAAGAAGAAAAAAAGATGAAAAAAGGAACGGTTTTTTTTTTTTTAGGTTAATTGTTTGGGGTCCAAAATAGTTTCCCTTTAATATTTTAATTGTATTTTTTTTCTTTTTCTCTTTTAGCCTAATAATTTTTTTTTTAATTTCTCGTCGCATCTTCCCGCATTAATTTAGGATTAATATTTTAATTTTTTTTTGTATGTTATTAGATTGATGAGAAAAAAATAAAAAAACAATAATAAAAAAGGTAATAAAAAAGTATATTTAAAACTTTTGACGAAGTCTCCTAGCTAATAGGGACCGACGTCGTAAAAAAATATAAAAACATTTTTTCGACGAAGCCTCCTATTTGATAGGAGCCGACGTCACCAAAAATCACCTTTTAATTAAGACGTCCTCCCACACACCGGTTGTGTCAAGGCATAAAGTGGATCCGATGTTTGAATCGATGTGTCGCCCGACGAAGGGGACCGACGATCATTTCAATACGATGCCACGCTCAAAACTAAAAAATTCAATTTGTTTTAAAAATTGGAGTTTCAAAAATCAAAAAAATAATTTGACGTAAATAAAATATTTTAGGAGATAAATTTAGAGCTAAACCAAACGTGGTACCTTTTTTTCAAAAAGGGCGCTTTTGGGTGATCGATATCTTCCCAAAAGCGTAACCAACTCCTTACCATAGAATCTCCGAATCGGTGTCTATTTTAGGTTCCTAGTTCCTTCAATACTAGGTGGCGACTCCAAACTCGTAAATAAACTTATAAATATTCAATCTAATTTTAGATATTTTCGAGGAGTCCCGTCCGACGTCGGGTAGCGACAAGATTTAATTCATTTTTTATTTTTATGTTATTGTTGAAATTTATTTTAGAAATGACAATTTTGATGTTTTAATGTATCTCTTTCAAATGAGTTAAAAAAAGAACTTTACATTCTATTATTTCATATGAAAAAGTTTGAGTAAATTATGGTATTTTTCACATTAAAATTTTTCACGTAAAATTTTTGTGTTGATTGTGGTTATATTTATTTTTTTCACATTAATTTTATTAATTAATTGATCTTAATTTTAATTACATAAAGAGGAAAACAAAGTCAGACTTGTCATTTGTTGGGTTGATAATGTGTTTTTTTTTTCCAAAAAATACTCTTTTTATTTAATCTTTTTTTTCCTAAAAAAACAAGAAGAACTAATATCATGATATCATTTAATCTGCTGAAATATGGTGGCAATCCAACAAATTCAGACAAAAATATACTCCTAATCCAATAAAACCATCATGTACAGATCTAAGTATAGAGGTGGTAATCCCCTGTTAATTATATAAAATATGGTGGTGATCCCCTGTTAACTACTCATAAATCCATTGCCAAAAATCTTTTTCTTTTTTCAAAGGAAGAAACCGTATCGCTTTTTTTTTTTCAGCAGCATTAAAATCAGCAACAATTTTTATTTTTATTTTTTTACTTTGATATGGTACTCCATCGATTTTTTAACAGGCTAATGGGTGGAAAGAGGGAGATTTTTTTTTTTTTTTCCGGATAAAGAGGGATTAACTTCAAAAGCACATGGAATTAAATATATTTTACTCTCCTTCCAGGAAATTAAGGTTGCTCTCTTCATTAAACTTCCAATAAATTAAGCTATAAAAATTTAGAACCAAATGAATCAAAATTGCTAAGGAAGCCTTATTTTTATCCCTTTGTTATTTATTTATTTACATACGATGAGTGTCATCGAATTGTTTTTATATCAATCGAAATTAAATTTATTATTTTTTAAGTTAAATTAAAATTATAATATGTATAGCATTTGATAAACTATTGAACTGTTATTTAAACTAAATTAATTTAAACTTGATATAATTATAGATATTTATCTATGAATAATATAAACTGAATTTTAATCTTGACTACATAAAAATAGCTCTTTTACCGATAAACCACATATTTTTATCCTTTGATTACTAAATAAATTTAAGCTTCGTTGATATGTATTTCTTTGAACCATACGAAGAAGTTAGCCTATATGAAGATAGATGCTTCTAGAACAACATTTGTTTGGACTCACTTTTCCCTTAAATAATTCAACTGTCAATTCACGTGACATTGCGATATGACCAAAAATTCTACCCTGTCTTAGCAGCAGTCATTTGCCTTCTCAACCAAGAAATTAGCCTATATGAAGATGGATGCTTTCAAATAGATAGGTTTGCTTTCACTAAAACAAAATATTCAGTTCAGTTAACATTTATTAAATTTAACTATTAATTTTGCATTTTATCCCAAAAAAAAAATAGAATAAATATAGAATATTAAAAAGTAAAATCCAAAAATTATGATAATCCTCCTTTTAAATTGTGTAATAATAGTAATTATAATAATCAAATTTTATTAAGAGTTAGTTCATACTTTTTTAGCAACCAATTTATGAGCTTAATAAAAAGGAAAATGATATACAAAATATCCACTTCCACTAGTGGAAGATAAGAGTGCTAATTAAATAAATTTTAGAAATAAATAATAGTAGAACATTCAGCCGCCGATTATAGATAAATAAATAATGGTAGAGCATTATTTATGAAAACCAGTACAAAAGTGTGTAATTTCAGGGAGAAGCTCGTCCTGTCAAATGCAATAGCAAACGACGGTGTTGACCCATTTGTTGCATGTAATTGAAAATCGTTTTGGCTCAACAGATTTGTTCAGATGATCGAATGAAATTTTCTGCGGTCTAATTTTGTGATGCACCGATGCTGTTATACAAGGTGGGCAGTAGATGGGGAATTTTCCAAGATTAATTTTGCATGCTTCTGAAGTTCAGAATTAACTATTATAAAGTTAGATGATTAAAATTAACTTCATTTAAAAAATTTAAGATTTTTATTAAATCTAAAATATGTATTCCAGTCCAAGTGAAGATCAAAAAGTCCAAATAAGAACTCGTGCTTGTGTTTAATAATAACCCATTATTGGACCGGCATCACCTACGTACTTGGACCGATATTTGTTTTCCAGAAGGAAATAAAACAGCAATCTGTACACCCATCGCTATAGTATTTGTTGGGCAATGCCCTTCCGATTATTTATTTCTTCCGCTTATAAATAGGGTTACCGATACATATTAGATCATCAAAATCACAAACAATACATTGATTTAGAGACATTCCCTGCATTTTTATTATTAGTGGCCATGTCTCCTTCTAAGAAACTAGAGGCTGATGATAACCTTGCATTGCCTGCTGGGGCCGTAACAAATGTTCCACCAACCTACATTGATCCCATTTCCAATGCTCAAACCTTTTCTGGGCTTGAGATTTTGGAGGGCTGCTGCCCTATCATCGACCTGGAAGCCCTTCACGGTCCTCGCCGCGCCGATATCATCGGACAGCTTGGCCATGCATGCCAGCACTATGGTTTCTTTTTGGTATGCATCTATGCAGTATTAGTTTAAATAGGGGTACATGAAGGAAAAAGATCACTGATCCACAACATATAACTAGGAGTCAGGACCGTTGATTTCGTTGACATAAGAACAATGGTCCTCATTGTTCATGTCACAGATCATGCTGTATTTTAGTGCGCAAATAAATGATGTCATGAAATGTATGCAAATATGTTGTTATTAATCTTTTTCTAATAATATATTGTCAGGTGAAGAACCATGGAATTCAAGAGACAATGATCAATGACATGATAGGCACGACAAGGGAGTTCTTCAATCTGCCAGAAGAAGAAAAGATGAAATCCTTCACTCCTGACCCTAGCAGCGGGATCAGGCATGATACCCCCTTTCAAGACAAGACTAATGTCTTTGTCTCTAGAGAATCCTTGAAATTTCCCAGCTATCCTCTGGAAGATTATGTAAATCTATGGCCTTCAAACCCTGCATCTTTCAGGTAAAAAAAAAAAAAAAGGAGCACATTATAGATAATTCTTTATCGTTTTCCATTAATTTTGTTTCTTAATATTTCACAAGCAATGGGATTTGTTAATATGAAATTCACTGTTGACAGGAAGATTGCAGCTGAGTACTTTACAGGTGTTAAAAAGGCAGAAATAGCACTAATGGAGGCCATATTTGAAAGCTTAGGCATGGAAAGGGATTCCATAGACAAAACATTAAGCAAGCACGGACAATATGTCTCTGTGAATTACTATCCAAGATGTGAAAAGTCAGAGCTAGGGGTTACTTTTGGCTTGCGTATTCATACTGACGCTTCTATAATCACAACGCTACTCCTAGATGACGTACCTGGGCTAGAAGTTTTACAAAATGACGAGTGGATAGCCATCAAGCCTGTTCCAAACACCTTGCTTGTTGAAGTTGGTGACCTCCTAGAGGTGATTTTCTCTATTCACTTGCTTTAAAATTTACCAAGCAAAATAAATAAATAAAATCATTGGTAAACTAAGGTAGTTTAAAAAATTATCTGAATCTAAAAACCTAACCAATTGAATAAAGCTACATAAATAGTTTTATATTATTTTCTAATATATTTTTTTAATCAAAAGTTTTTTAAACTTAAAACTTATACCAACTTACTGTTAAATATTTAATCATTTAATTTTAATTAGAATAAAAAATAAAAATAATGAAATTCGAATTCATAATTATGATAGATAGAGATTTTATCAACATTGAAAGTAACATAGTCGAAATCATTTTGAATTTTCAGAATTTATTTTCTATCTCGTGTATAATTTTCCTGGTACGCACATACACCGAATTTGTCTAATTGTTTAGTGCTATATTGATTGTTACTTGCTACTTGTTTTTAACACATAATGGCTTGTTTTATTTTTTATATTTTATCAGGCACTCAGCAATTGTCGATACAAGAGTTTGGTCCATCGAGTTATGGTGAATCCAGAGAAAGAACGAATATCCATTGCCACAAATTGTCATCCATCAAATGATACTTCAGTTGGACCTCCTAAGGAATTGATTGATAAAGATAGTAATCCAGCAATCTATAGAAATTTCACCTACAAAGAGTTCTTATCTGCAATGTGGCTAGAAGGAAGTGCAAATGGTAGTCGCTTGGACTCCTTCAAGATTAATTCTACTGCTTGAAAATGTTCACCACCACCTTTCCTATTTCTAAGATGTTCGAGATATATGCGTTGCGTTCTTTTTTTTAAATAAAGAAAAAAACTTTGTCATCTTTAGCTATATTATTTTATTCACTAGCAAGACAAAGCTTGTTGACCATATCGAATTACAATACTATGTCTTTTTATTTATGAAGGTTGTCATCTTGCTTTTTTGGTTGCTGCTTCTGTGTTTGCTTTATTGCCTGGTGACTTGCACAGTTGCACTCACGTACTTGAGTTTGTTTGTTGGCGGCCACCTTTAACACTCTCGGGGTTGGGTGTCTTTTCATATGGAGTCCAAAATTCATATAAACAAAAGAAGAAAAAAAAAAACGATAACAAATAAAAAAGGAAAGAATTTTCCTAAACTAAAAGTCACATCACATGGCTCTAAAAGAAAATTTGAAGTTTCTTTAACGCGGAGCAGCCAAAAAATAAAAAAAATAAAAAAAAATAAAAAAGGAAAGAAGGGAGACTCTGGAGAGAGAGAGAGAGAGGGGAAAAAAGTGTACTTTCTGTCTTTTCTATTTTTGTCGTGTTGACCGGATGATATTTTAAACCTGATTAAAATTAAAGTTTGACATGTTCCTGATCTAATCAAGGTGAGATTTTAATATATATATATATATATATATATATATATATTAACTGGAATGGCATTGGTTATTGAAACAATTTTATTTTTGATTTTTTTTAAAAAATTATTTGATATGATCTAATTATTATTTTTTAAGTTATTATTGTAATTTATCTTTGAAATGATAGGTTTAATGTTTTGATATATAATTTTCTAGTTGAATTGGAAAAAATTTTAATTTTATTATTTGATATAATAAAAGAATTTAAATGGATTACGGTCTAATAGTATTTTCCACCCTCAAGTTTTTCAAAACATGTGTTGATTGTGGTCATATTTATTTATTTTCACATTAATTATTATCATTTACTTAATTTTATGGCTTGTGATTTGTGATTTAGATTCATATATGTGGCCTTTTCCAACCAATACTCTTTTTATCTGATAGTGTTTTTTTTCCCCTCCCTAGACCACAAGAAGAACTGCTATCATTTAATCTGTTGAAAGATCTATCACAAGCATACAACAAATCTAATGATTAGGAGTATCAGAATAAACTTCGACCTTTATTGGAGATAAACCAGGACTAGCCAGACACGTAATTGCCTATGGAGATAACTACTGCCACTGGAGATAAATCAAGGTAGAAACAACTTTAATACATGTGACTTATAGTCTATTTATACTTCCCTTGTTATGTATTCTAGCTATACTTCTAATCCAACTAAATGTATTGACTTCCCTTGCTATATAAATATATATTGCAGCACGGCAGAATTTGTGATTGACAGAAAGCTAAGAATTCCTTATTATAATTTGCTATCAGAGTCTTAAGCAAAACTGCACTAATGGCCTCAACTAGTCCCACTTCTGCTTTAACAAATCAGATCTCTCCAAACTCGTCATCCTCCCAAATCATATCACCTCATGTCACCCATCTTTCAAATGTCCACCACTTCATCTCAATCCAGTTAACCACTACCAACTTCCTGTTTTAGCGCACACAAATGCATCTTTTCTTATTAGGCCAAGCATTGTTTGGATTCGTAGATGACAGTTCCAAATGCCCTATCTCCCGTATTCTCTCTACTGAAATCGGAGTTGCACAAGAAAACCCTTTATATGGCCTATGGATTCAACAAGATTAGCTCTTAATAAACACAATTATAGCTTCTTTGTCCACCGATGTTTTACTTTTAGTAATTGATTGCACCACCTCTCATGAGGTATGGACTATGCTTGTGAACACACCGGCCTCTCGCTTCTAGCACAAGAATAATGACTTTGCATCTAGCTCTTTAACGATTGTAACAGGAGAGCATTGAATATGTAACTCAATACCTTCAATGCACAAAATCATATAGTGATGAATTCATTACCGTTGAAAAACCACTATCCACCATAGATTTTAATCTCTACATCTTTTGAGGCTTATTCATAGATTACAAAGATTTGATTACAACATTAACTCGCTCGATCTAATTCGGTATGTTTTTCGAACTTCATTGTTTACTTTTAAGTCATGAATTTTTTAACAAGGATTTTCTCGCAAGATATTCAAGTTCCCTTCATCACTTCAATTTTTGTTAATTTTAGCCAACAATCTCATGGATCTACACCTAACAACCATGATCATGGGAACTCATTTGGCACACCTCTCGATCGTGGTAGAGGACGACAACAAAGAGGGCACCGGCATAGATGTAATGGTCGACCCTTCGATAATGATAGCAAACAAAATTGGAACCGGCCTCGTTCGCCTCGTCGTCGGATTTACAACTCTCGAGGACATTCGACCTTGTATTGTTCTTACGGAGTTCTCCTAACCATTGCACCCCCAAGCTAACATTATAGTCCACTCCTCTAATCCCTCTTATCGGTCGAATGTTTGGTGCTCGGATACAAGTGCTTCCCATCACATCACTCTTGATGTCGTCGCCTTAAGTCATTATGAACCTTATCAAGGTTTTGATCGAGTACAAGTAAGCAACGGTGAGTTTCTCCCCATTAAAAATATTGGTACTATTCATTTTCATGCTCCAACTAGGACACTAAAACTATTAGATGTTTTACATGTTCCAAACAATACCAAACTTTTGCTTTTTGTTCAAAAATTAACCAAAGATAACAATTTATTTTGAGAATTTTACCCCTCTACTTTTTGTTTAAAGGAACGAGGTCGCAATAACAAATACTTTTAGGATCGAGTAAAGATAACTTGTATATCCTTTTCGAGTCATCAAGCTCATTCCAACCAAAAGCCTTCTCTACTAAAGCACCTTCACAAATATGGCACTCAAGATTGGGACATCCACATGTTCGAGTTCCGCAAACTCTATTTTCAAATAATATTTTACCGCGCATTGATAGTCATTTCAACAATCAATAAACTTCATGCCTTTTGGAAAACATTCATAGATTGTCTTTGCACTCCACGAAACATTTTAGTAATTCTGTTTTAGATTTAATTTTTAGTAATGTTTAGGAAACCATCACTTACCCCTCTATCGATGGTCACAAATATTATGTGATTTTCATTGATCATTATTCCAAATTCATTTGGTTTTATCCAATTTGCAAAAAATCGATGTCTTTAATAGTTTTATGAAATTTCAAAATTTGGTCAAAAGGTAATTTAATTACAAAATAAAAAAGTCCAAATTGATTAGGGAGAAGAATTTTGGCCCCGAAATAGGTTTTTTTCAAAAAATTGGCATTAACCATCGCCTTATGTGCCTTCATATAAATGAGCAAAATGGCATAGTAGAACGATGACATCATCACATTGTTGAGATCGATCTCACAATCATGGAGGAGGTGAAAAGTACCACCCCAATTTTGGCATTTCGCATTTGACCCTGCGAGACTTTTTAATTAATCTCATGCCAACCCCAATTCTTAAAAATAAACCACCATATGACTTCTTACTTTCCTATAAATCATATTACACATTTTTAAAAGTTTTTAGGTGTATGTGTTTTCTACACGTTAGGCCATACAATAAGCATAAAATGGATTTTAGAAGTGTACCATATGTTTTTCTAGGATCTAGTCCACACCATCTTTGTCATCACTACCTTGATTTACAAACAAAAAAAAAGTACATTACAAGGCATGTACAATTCTTTGAAAAAATGTTTCCCTACACTATCATAAATTTCACTACGTTGGATTTTCACTTAAATCATTGTCATAAGGAAGTCGCCCAATCACGACCCGACCATCACTCCACACACTTGATCCACCAGCCCAATCCTCTATATCTTTGTCTTCCCAAACTCCTAATCCCGCACGCCAAAACAAGCCAATCTCAACCTAGTTGTCAAAACACGCACTTGATCCACCAATCCAACCCTCTACATACCTACCATCCCAAAATCCTAATCCTACATGCCTAAATAGGCCCACCCCACTTTAGCCCATAAACACCCACATAAGCTCGACCCTCACACCATTTAAAATATCACAAAGGCTAAGCATGTCCTCCACCAATCAGCCTTCTCATCCTATCTTCAATACTCGTTACCCACATGATAGCCTCCCTTATCTCCAACACTAGTCGTTCCCATACCATGCCCTAGTTCTAGCTATCCCCCATCCTACTCCATAAGTCCCACCCAAACATAAACTCCTTTCTCCACTTCCACAAATCTCCACCACATCCCCTTCTCCTCCAAATGGCAATACTAATAACAAAATGGGATTGAATCTTATTGTTGATCTTAGCAACTATAGCTTACCACAACAACATCATTTGGTCACTAGTCCCTCGAGGAAACACTTAATGAAGCTCCATTCCATGAGACCTCTAAAAGCACATTCACCCACCATCTCTAAGCACCGTTCACATTGCTCCCACATGTTACTCTCAACAAAAACACCACTTTGAATGGTGATAGGCAATGATAATAGAGATTAATACTCTACTCACCAATGGAACTTGGTCTTTAGTTCCACACCAAAAGAGAATGAATGCTATTGATTGCAAATGGGTTTATCCTATTAAGAAACACACGAGATGGCAACCTAGGCAATACAAAGCTAGACTTGTGATTAAAGGATTTCACTAATAGGAGGAAGTGGACTATGCAGAGACCTTTAGCCTTGTAGTACAACCAGCAACAATAAAGTATGCTCTCTCAATTGTAGTCACTAAGTCATGGACAATCGGAACACTTGATGTTCATAATATGTTTCTTAATGGATTCTTACATGAAACTATATTTATGGAATAACCAATGGGGTTTATTGATGAGTAACATTCGGATCATGTATGCCAATTACATCGCTCACTTTATGGGCTTAAGCAATCTTCCCGCATTTGGTTTGCTTATCTACACACTTTCCTATTATAGCTTAGATTCATTGACTCCAAAACAAGTTATTCTCTATGCTACTACAACAATAGTGGTGTCTCTATACTCGCTATTGGTTTATGTTGATGATATAGTAATTATAGGAAATTTAGACTCTAAAATCTTCACTACAATTGCGAGAATTAAACGGTCGATTGTCAAGCCATGACTAAGAGCTTTGTCTTACTTCCTCGGTGTTGAAGTAGTTAATAGTTTGATGGCATCTTACTCTCCTAAAAAAAGTACATAAAAGAGCTCTTACATAAGTATGAAATGGAGAATTGCAAGCCAATAGGCACACCAATGTCGGCAGTTACCAAGCTTTATTTCCATCCCGATTCGCCTTTTATTGATGCTATTTTTTATCAATAAATAGTTAAGGCACTACAAGTATGTGACACTCTCATTTTCGGACATTGAGTTTGTAGTTAACAAAGTATGTCAATTCATGCACCACCCAACTACAAACCACTGGACGATCATAAAATGAATTCTCAAGTATTTGAAGGAGTCTATGCATCATGGTTTGCACATTACAAACAAAAGCTCAATGGTTTTATAGGGTTTTTCTAATTCATATTGGGCTAGATGCTTGGATGATAGAAAGTCTATTGGAGGCTTTGCTTGTGATTGTTTCAACTTCTTGAGAAACAAAGTGACAGTTCAATCTCATTCCACTCAAACACTATTCATTTATGAGGGAGTATCATAACAAGCTTCCACCTTTACTAGAGATGAACCAGGACTAGCCGGACATACAACTACTACTCGGAGATAACTACCATCACCGGAGATAAATCAAGGCGGAAACGACTTTAACACATATAACTTATAGTCTATCTATATTTCCCTTGTTATGTATTCTAGCTATACTTCTAATCCAACTAAATGTCAAATTGACTTCACTTGCTATATAAATATATATTGCGGCATGACGAGAATCTGTGATTGACAAAAAGCTAAGAATTCCGTGTTATAATTAGGAGTAAGGGACAAATTGAGTCGTGAGTTTCGCATGACTAGAGGTACCATTACATTAGTGTTGATGAGAGAGCTAATTATTATTATTATTATTATTATTTTACCTTTATATAGTATTTTATCAATTTGTTTTAGGAAAAAAATATAATGTCATTAATATTATAAATAGTATGTAATCATTACAATTTTTATTAATTTTAAATAAAAATAACAATGATCATAATCTATTTTAATCAAACGAAAAAGATTTATCTTACTAACATAATATCGATTGATATTCCAAATAATGCATCGTCTTTTGCAATTTGCAGACTTCGAAATAAATGTTTTATTAATTTTTAGTAGGAATTTAAGAGGGAAATGGGAAATTTTTTTTGAAACAAAGGGATTAATTTCAAAAACACATGGAATTAGATATATGTTACTCTTTTTCGGGGAAATTAGGGTTGTTCTCTTCATTAAAATTTTAATAAATTAAGCTATGAAAATTAGTACTAAATAAATCAAAATTACTAGATAAGTCTTCTTTTATTTTTTTAATATTTATAAATAGTTGAGTTTTATCAAGTTAGCTTTAGCATCAATTGAAATTAAATCTAAATCTATCACTTTATGAGTTAAGTTAGTACCAAAACATACTTAATTTTTTATAGATCACTAGACTATCTTTTAGATCAAACCAGCTTAATTCGATACTATTAAAAATAATTATGAATAATTATTTATAAATAATAAAAATTTAATTTAATTTTGGCCAAACTAAGACACCTTTTTAACGTTAAATCAAATCCTTTTATTTTTATCCTTTCATTACTAAAATAAATATAATCTAAGTTAATTCATATATATATATATATATATATATATGAAGAAGTTAACCTAAATGAAGATCAATATTTGTTTGGATTCACTTTTTCCCATAAATAATTCAACTGTCTTAGTTGCAGTCATATGCCTTCTCGATCGAGAAGTTAGCCTATATGAAAATAAATGCCTTTAAACACTCGATTTGCTTTTACTAAAACAAAATATTCAGTTATATTAACATTTACCTAGTTATCTACATATTATTAAATTTAACTATTAATTTTGCATTTCATCCAAAAAATTTAAAATAAAAATATAATCTAAAAAATCTTAATGATACTAAACATAGAAAGACAATAAAATAAAAGTAAAATCCAAAAATCATGATAATCCTTGAATAAAACTCTAGATATTATAAAAGAAATGGTAACAATGATAGAATTGGAGAAAAAAATGATGGAGAAATGATTTCACTATGAAATAAAGAGAATACAAAAGATAAAAACTCCAAACAATTCTCTCAATATCTACAAAATACTTGTACAACAACTAATGAATAATCAAGCCTATTTATAGGCTTCAAAATTTGAAAAAGAATTGGAAGAGACTCGTGAACAATTAAATAGACATAAATTATTGAATCAATTACAACACCTTTTCAATTTCTCATACTGAATGGTGAATTGAATCACATTAAGAATTATGAGTAGTGGAGATATGAAAAACATATAAATATTCATATAGATATTCATTATTTCATAACACTCCCCTTGAATGTCCATCGTACAAGAAACATGCCTTGTTAAAACTTTACTAGAAAAAAACCTAGTGGAAAAAAAATCCCAATGAAGAAAAAAGAATAAAATATTCATTGTACACATTAATCACCATAATGGTCTTCCTATATTGAAAACATTATTTAAGATCTTTAAGTTGTAATAACCCAAAATTTACCTTTTTTATTTTTATTTTTATTTTTATTTTTATTTCATGTATGTTTTGTTTTGTTTTAATTTGAAGTTTACTTGGAAAAAAAATGATGAAAAAACATAAAAATTTATTTAGGGACACAATTGAAGTAATTAGGGATGTAATCGAGTCGATTAAAAAAATTTAGGCCCTAAATTACACCTCATGGGGACCCAATTGATAAGATTGTGTTGAAATTATACCAAAAAAGGGTGTGATCATGGAAAATTGAAATGCATAGGGACCAAGTTGAATTTTTGGAGTGGACGACAGGACTAAAATGGAGATGGCGACTCGTCGTCCACTCCAATTCTAATTTCTCTCCGAAAATCTTTAGGAGAAATCTCCCAAATCCTCCACAAATTTTCTGTTTTGATTCTACATTTATCACGATTTTTTACTGAATTAATTTTTGATAGAGAATCAAACAATCACTAATTCCTTTCCTTGTTGATTAGCTAGTCGAATCTCAAATTTGAGATTTTGAAATCTTAAGTCCTTTTATGACTTTCATATAGATATCATTTCAAATGAGCAAATAAACTACGATCATATTCATTAAATGCATGCACATGAAGTTTTTCATATATTTTTTCAAGTTAATGAGATAACAAAATGTTGTAGTATCTATTCTAGGAGAATATGTCTCTTCATAGTCAATATCAAGTTTTTACGAAAACTCTTGTGTTACAAGTCTTGCTTTGTATCTAATAATCTCATCTTTCTTATTTTGTTTCGTACAACTATTCATTTGTATCTCACTAGCTAAACATCTTCATGTGTTTTGAATGTGGATTAAAAAACTAGTCATTTATAAGGGAATATATTATCTCCGGTTTGCTCTTCTCATTTAGGACAATCGTCTCTATGTCGACATTCTTTAATAAATGTAGGACCATGATCCTTATTTTTATTCAAAATATCAATTACGATATTATATGCAAAAATGTTATTAATAAATATTTCTTTTCAATCCTATTTTCTTCCCGTATTGACATAATTTATCAAAGTCTTTTGATTGTTCTAAAGCACTTGGACTTCTTTTGGAAGCCTATTATATAAATATCTTGAACCATTTTATGAATGTGCATCCTTTATATTTTTATCTTGATTATTTGCTCGTTTCTTTTGGAGATTTTTATCTTTAGAACCGATTGGTCTTTTATGTTTCAAGCGTGCTTTAGACTCTTTTGCTATAATATTAATAATTTTTTCTTTTAGGACATCAATTTTAATATGAGCATTCTCGGTGGGCATATACATTTTAGTTACTCATTTAGGATTTGAAAATGCATATGACGGTTGGTTTGTAATACCTTATAAATGAGTTATTTTTTTTAACTTCTAATTCACATTCTTTTATACGAAGATCAATATGATATAAAGATATAGTACTCCATATAATTTTTTTTCAATATTTTCAACTACTTATTTTGCTTATTCTCTCCTTCTAATATTAGAAAAATGATTTCTTCAAAATGACGATCGGTAAATGGATCTATAAAAATATATCTTGTTCATGATTTAAGATATTTAATTATCGAAGAGGATTCAAATCCAACATATATTCTCAATCTTCTTTACGTGCTCATTTTAGTTTGTTGTAGAGGAGCACTACATATATAAAACTACACGACCAAAAATTGAAGGGGAGAGAATTTGATAACTTATGGATCTAATGCGAATAAGTATTGTTATATGTAAGATTGCATGTTCCCAAACATAAACAAGGAGTTTCATTTTTAAATA